AATTTTTCTTAATAATTGATTTATCATTGATTTTGTTAATAAGTTTAACTTATGTTTTCCTGTAGTTTGGGTAATTTCTATTACCTTTTCAACTTCTTGATATTCATGATAAGAGATTTTATCTCTTGTGATAATCCTTTGCATTCTGCTTAATAAGTTGTCTTCTATTTTAAGATTTAATTTTAATCCTTGGATTTTCTTAAATGTTTCTCCATCGAAAGTTGTTTTTAAAGCATATCCATGGTGATCTTCTTCTGTATCTAATATCTGTACAGAATCTTCCTTTTCTTGTATTTCTTTATTCATTTAATCAGACTCTTATGAACTAGTTGAATATTCTTCATAGATTTCTTCAAAGAAATCATCACTTTTTATAGATTTTATAGATTCTAAGTTTGAATCTATTTCTAATCTATCTATTTTTGAGATTTTTACTCTTTTCTTGTTACATTCATAACTTTTGTATCCTTCTTCTCCACAATTGTAACATTTACATTTACTTTTAGTTTTTACAAATTCTGTTTTCTTTTTATAATATCTTTTCTTTGGTATGTATTTTTGTTTAGTAAAATTTTTCTTTTTAATTAACCCTTTCTTGAGTTGTTCATCACATCCCCATTGAGTAGATGCCTGTGTATCTTTACAATAGATTTGTGTATTAATTCTTTTAGCTTTCCTTTGCATATTATGTGACATACATAACTGCCCTAATCTATTATTTAGGAAATTTATTCTTTGACCAAGAGTGTCTCCTTTTATGTTTTCTTTTTCATATTCTTCTCTAAAATATTTGGCCCAAAAGCCTGGTAATTTTTGATAGTATTTTTCTAAATAAGGCAACATTTCCTTACCCTATCAAATATCTTGTTGTAATATTCTTCGAATTCACAAGTGTATTCTTTAATATAACTCATTTTACATATCTGTAATTTTTCTAATTTTTCTTTTGCTAAATTTTTTATTATTTCTTTGTTTTCCTTTTCATTTCCTTGTCCTCCAAAGAATTCTTTTGTAATATATTGCTTAAGGTTATTTATACCTTCTTGTAAAGAGTTTTTTTGATTCTTCTAAGGTATCATTTTCAATTATATTTTCAGCATCTTCAGTTAATCCTGAAAACCAATCATTTACCTTTCCTGTAAAGGTATTTATCATTATGAAATATTTTTCTTCATCCGTATAATTTCCTTTTCCTAATAGCAAATACATTAACATATTTTGAGACCAAAGATCTAGGCTATTTTCTGAATTCCTTTTACATTCTAAATCTAAGAATTGTATGCTAATATCTCCTGTGGGTAGTCTATTAGGCATAAATCTTGATTTATCATTGTTATGATAATTTTTTGTAAAATCATTATTTGTTTTTGATTTATTTGTAAAATTTTTATTTTCATTTTCTGGTTCTTGCCATTCATTTTTTATCGAAGTTGAAACTTCGAATTTTCCTTGAGGTCCTTCTGTTTCCCCTCTATTCATGAGTACATTTATTTCTTCTGAAAGACTTAAGTCTTCTAAAGAATAAACTAACTCATCTAATTCATTCATCATTATTTTGTTCAATTAATTTTGAATCAATCTCTATTACTGAATTATCACTATGATTTATTTCTAAATCATTTTCATTTTCTATATATTTTTCTTTTCCTTTTTGTTTTTCTAGGAATTTCTGTATTAATATTTCATCCATACTTCCTTTTTGGTAAGTATTTTCACTAACTGATTTTTTATTCAATAATTTTTTAATATATTTTTGACTTATTCTTTTGTCAATTTTATCTGTTTTTTTCTATAAAATTTGTTATTTTCCCCGGAATATTTATATCTGGAAACCCAGAAAGTAAAACTAACCCAGATTCTTCTGGAGCAAAATTTTCTTCTTCTTTGCAGGTACATCCAAAAGAAGAAGAGTATTTAAAATTCACTAAATACATTTACAATCTCCCAGAACACAGTGGAGAAACATATGGAGTTTTGGGAACTACTAGTTTATTCCCTAGAATTTCCATATTCCCAAATGGAATTCCGAGCTTTACAGCTCAATTATTTGAGTTCGAATTTTTGGATCGAGTTTACACAAGTCCAGACCTCAAAGAGTTATCCCAACTACCATCCAGATTGTTCAACGCAATCAAGAATTTCAGCGAAGGTGATGGAGGAGTATACTGTAGATTCTATAGTATTGCAATGGAATGTCAAGACTCTCAGGCATACTATCCAACTCTCAACTACATAACAGTTGAGAAAATAAAAGATTTCAACATTAAGGCTACGAGAGTTGATAAAAAACTTCCTTTTCTTAACAAAAAGTGGATACAAACCAGAAGGGAATTAGGAATAAAAGCCTTATATGCCATTTAAAACAGATTTTACCGAGATAATTTCAAGGTAATTGATCAAGATTTTGACTGGGTATTAATCACCATGGGAAATTCAAAGTCAGAATTACTTAAAGAAAGGATCCTTGATATCGAGCTCCATAGATTAGGGGCAACAGAGGAGACTAGGAAGCTAGCATGTAAAATGTTAGAGCATGAACACAATCGATGATGGAAGAAGATCGATGAAGAAGACAGACGTAAGCACTTACGTAGTTAAACAAAAACGTAAGCACTTACGTTTACAAAAGAAGAAGAAGACAAAATACTTTTCTTTTACAAAAGAAAAAGAAGATGCTCTGTCGGCCACAACAAAAGCAGCAGCCCATGTGAAAGAAGATAGAGACTTTTGACTCAGACGAGTCAATAATGGAATCTTTAAAGGAAGACTTTTAAAGATAAATAATTGTAAATAAGTCCCTCCTGATCATCTATAAAAGGAGAGAGATATTATTGTAATAAGTAGAGTCAGTCGAAGTGTGAGTTTTACAGTAAGAAAAAATAAGAGTGAGTAGTTAACTTCTCCCGCTAGGGAAAAGTGTTTCTATTAAATGTCATATTAAGATATCTACTTATTATATGTAAGTAAGATTATATATATGAAATAAAAGTTTGTTTATATATCAATATTTTTCAAACTTGATAAGTAGTTCAAAGTGGAAGTTGCGATTTCCAGCCTTTAGGAGGAATAGCGAGAAAAGTAGCCGTAAGAGTGAAGAAGGCGAAAAAAGCTATTCATGGCCTAAGAGGAGAAATGCTGAGGCATTGATAAGACTAATTATCAACTAGAGGAAGAAGGTATAAAAAACTATCTTTTATTAAGTATATTATAATCTTATATACATGTTATAAATTGTTATCTTGATTAAACATTAATAAAAATTACTTAATACCTATAGGGATTAAATCATATTATGATTCAACAACATGTTTTGTATAAATATATCACACTATTTGCATAAATACGTATAAAAATGAAAATTATACAATCACACTTACATAGCGTAAGAAAAAGAGCATGGAAGCATAAGATAGCTTTGTATCATATAAAAAAAGCAATTTCTTAAATGGAAAAAGTATATCAACACACTAATTATAGATATGGAAATTTAATTATCTCAATTTACGAGATGAGAATGTATAAAATACAAGAACAATATGAGAGTGAGAGCTATGCTTAGGTCAGTTCCCTCAGACAAGATATTCTGGAGGCCTAATTCCAAACAGAACTCAAGGTAGAGGAAGCCCTTCGTTTGGACAGGGTTACTGAAGACTCTCTTTCTGCTAAAAGGCTTTTGATTAGAGGGGAACGCTCTATCCATTTGGGAAGCCATTATCCTTGAAAATCTACTTGGACCACCTATTTTTTCTTTTCTTTTGAGAAGGTAACATTTCTGTATATTGACAAGTCAGTACATGGGTTGCACTGAAAACATATGTGCATATATATCAAAAGACAGAAAAACCAACTCAAAATCCTGACAAGACCCGTCTATAATTGAGTCGGTATCCTCAAGTATATTTGTTTGCACCAGAAACAAAAAAGTCAAACAGTTTAGTTTGATCATCTGTAGGTCACAGTTTTTGCTTTCAGAACATCTTGAACTCCTTTCCTTCCATATTGTCCACCAGATGCAAGTTGGGACAATTCTCCATCTGTCTCTGTCTGCTGCTCGTACTCCTTCTTCCTCCCAACCATATAACAAGTGAGTTATTTTGTTAGGCATGACCCAGCTAATGCCTCCAAGTCTAACAAAAATCCTCCACAGTTGTGTAGTTTTCTTGCATTTTAGGAATAGATGACTAACTGTCTCAACCTCTTTAGATAGAGAACTATGGAACCCACTGTAGCCCGCCTTATAGAAGGCTTTTTAAAGAGATTGCTCGACAGTACTTAGATCTGGTCTTTGAAGGAATAAAAAAAAGGAGAGACTGGTTAACACTATACTAGCCTCACCCTGGATCCACCCTGATTGAATGACAAGGTGTTGGTATCTCTTGTCATAGAAATGTAGTGAATCCACAATGTTGCAATTTGTTAAGTGAAGCTGTAAGAGGAACTGCTCGAGTTGATGGTATAATTAGGTTTCACTATGCTCTTGATAAGCAAATGTATCTCATTTGATTGTCATGTGGAGAAGAGGCTTGTTAAGGTATTAGTATGTCTAATAGGAGTATCTTCACATACATATGTACACTAGAAGAGATGTGTATCTGTTTAGGTTTTAAAAGTCTAGTTAAATATTTAAATTAAGTAGTCCATTATGATTTATCCATTAGTGTAAAATTGGGAAAATGTTTTTGTTTTCTCTTTCTTCTAGACTTTGAATGAAGTAATATCCTTGTCAAGAAGTTAGCTGGCATATCTATTGGAACATATTGGATATCAAGCTCCGTTACATGAAGGAAGCCACATAATATCGGGGTTTATTAGTTGAAGAGCTTTATGTTAATTCATGAAATACATAACAAAACTTGCTTGTATACTATAACACATCATTTTTTTCCCCATGTAAATCAAAGGGCAATTGTGATATGTATAGTCATTAGAATATGAGGGTAATTGTCCTCATCTATAAGCAAGTCCATAACTCTCTTCCTTTTTGACCATTGTGCATGCAGAACCACCGAGCAATTGACTTTTTGGGCAAGATCATCAGATGGACCAAAAGAATGGGTTCTTTGTGGGTCTGCTCTATCCTCAGAAGATAAGGTTGGTTTATCTTTTCTGCAGTGACTGTATCCTCTGCTAGTTCTATTGTATGTCCCTTGTATCTATTTAAGAGTGTTTGATCAGTCTTACAATCATGTATGCAGTTACAAGTCACATGGAGAACTGCCATTGGCATGTTTCCAGTCAAAAACCCTTTGTTTATTTGATTATTTCAGCTCTCTGGTATACTAGAGGAGTCAACTTTTGATGGTCATGCATAGATGGTTTAACTCTACATTTGTCAACGTTAGTTGATGTATTAATCCTGGTTGATCATTGATGCATGTCCTGGGAATAGCAATGTATGAAAGATCCACTTATTTTAGTATGTTCACATTTATTTGCTTACTTGTATGGTATTTGTACTTTAGCCTACTTTAATGCCCTTTTATTTTGAGAAAGCCTTTGAAGTAAAATAAATTTTTACTTCTTTTTGCTTGGAATTGTTAGCTGAAAATGGTGCGTTTCAGACATTATTAATCCATCGTATTGGTTTTTTGACATTTTGCAGTACATGTTGGTGAAATTTGATGATATGTGTGGTGCAACTGCGTGCAAGTTCTGGAGACCAAATGTCACACATGTTGTTGCAACAACTGATGTAAAGGGTGCATGCACCAGAACAATGAAATTTCTCATGGCGATTTTGAGTGGAAAATGGATCCCAACTATGGACTGTAAGCACTGTTTCCTGTCATATAAAATTGTTTGTGGGATAGGTTTTTCATTTGGTTCTCCATGGAATGAGGGTGAACGTTCAATCGCTATTGAATCAAGAAATGCAATAAAGTAGAATGTGTGGGGGATATAAGAATAAGTTGTTTTGTTGTTGAGGGAAGAGAAGGAAATACCTGGATACATGTGTGACTTCTCCAGAGCCACTTTGAATGCGTGGACATTTTTTTGGAAATAGTTTGCTTGGCCTGGGTCAATAGTTAATTAGTTGTCTATTGAAAAGACGGATGATTAATTTGTTTTAATTCCATTCTCCTACCATGGAACTTGTTTATTTGCAGGGGTAAAAGCTTGTGTTGCAGCAAATGGTCCAGTAAATGAAGAACATTATGAAATAAGTCTAGTCAATTATGGCCGTTCTGGGGGCCCCAAAGCTGGAAGGTTAATGGCCTCAGCTAATGTAAGTATCTGGTTATTGCAGCGCTAGAGAAACTAGTTTATTATATTCCTTGTGAATAAGCTTGATGGCTAAAGATTTTTTTTTCTGGTTCTCAACTGAGGTGGCACATATTAAAAGCTTTAGTATCGAGTAACCAATTATCCCTTTATGTTACAGGGGCCAAAGCTTTTTGATGGTTTCGAGTTTTATTTTATTGGAGATTTTATGCCAGATTACAAAAGTGACCTGTTAGATCTAGTCGAGAAGGCTGGAGGCACAGTCATTCAGAGTGAGGAGCAGTTGGTGAAACAGAATCATGCTGCACAGGGAACTCAGCCATCTTCTCTAGTCGTATATAACTGTGATCTATCGCAAGGTTGCTTTGAAGAAAAAATCAGAATTTTGCTGCAAAGACTAGCAGAAGCTGAGGATCTAGCCGAGCAAATCGGTTCTCAGACTGTTCAGCATACTTGGATTCTGGAATCTATTGCTGCATGTAAATTGGTACCTTTCTGCTAATGAGTGATCGCAACAAGTTTTTTGTGCAACTGAAATACTTCCACTTATGGCAGAAGAACAAAAGTAGTTGTACATTTTCTGCACCTGGAAAATATAGTTGAAAATCTTAAATGCTAAAATTTTGTGTATAAATGTGAAAGAGATATTACAACCTTGGTTTCAAGTTCTAACAATTTATTCAAATTGGACTAAAAAAGAGATATTACAACCTTGGTTTCAAGTTCTAACAATTTATTCAAATTGGACTAAGCCCAGTATATTTTTCCTGAATGAACCCACGGTCCAAGTTATTTACCTGACTGTCTCCTTGTTCTATACGATGAACCATTGCTTCTGCATCCTTAATATCATTATAGTATATATACACTCTAGTAGTATTTATATACTATCAAGGTATCCATATACTCTAATGGTATTCAATAATAGTTCAACAATTTTTTCATTGAAACACTGCATGTTTCTCCTTGACACTTTTAATAAATATTGAAAATGTGATTAGGAGATCCTATTAAATGATAAATATTGATATTTTAAAAAATTTCCATTTTTGTTTCAAGCCTTTTTATGATAATTCATTTTTAGTCCATGGAGCCCAAAAAAAATTGGTGGGTCATGACCCAACATAGTTTTTATTTCAAATCTATTTTCTTGTTTTTAATTTTAATCTAACCCGCTCAATTGACATTCCTAAACTTAGGATAAGACGTTCTCAAGAGAAGTTAAAAAAAGATTATGCCAAAATTTTAATTTATTTTCATTTATAGCCTTATGCTAAATGGTTCTTAATGGTTGGAAAATATTAACAAACATGAAGTTGGGTATTTAATTATTACATACTGAAAGCAGAGAAATGGTTCCCTTGGTTAAAAAATATTAACACGAACTTGGATATTTAATTTGTACACTAATAAATTTGATTGCACTTTGCGTGGTCGTTAGTAACTCTTTTTTAAAAATGATTCACTACAAAATTCTTCTGTGAAAAAATTTAAAATATAATTTTGTATTCATATATATTATGATTTGAGACCAATACATTGTCGTTAGTTAATAACCCATACATATATCAAACATAAATCATTTAAGCATCGATTGTTTTAATAATAATCTCCACCTTTACACTTTGATGTTTTTATCGTTTAATTATTTATTAAATGTTAACTATATGAATGTAACAACGTCAAACATAAAATGAGTATTTTATTTTTTTATGGAACATAAATTAAAAAAGAGAGGCACAATCTTTCTAAGATAATAGGAGGAAAAAATATATAAAAGAAACTTGATTCACAATCAAATTTTAGGAAAATGATATAATAAGATGAATATGTCCACTAAAGAAAAATTAAATGAAAAACATTCATAAATACATAAAGAATTTTATCTTTGTCATGTCTAATTGAGTTTCTTAAAATGTCATCGAAGCCAAAATTAACTTCTGGGAAATACCAAAGACTGAAAATATGGAAATAATATGAATTTAAACACTTCTAACATTTAAAATAAATAGAAAATTTATGATTGCCATAGTTAATGCCCTCTTAATTAGAAGTACCTTTTTTCTTAATTTGTAATAACTTTTATGTTTCTAATTAAGATGTATTTAAAGAAATTCATTAAAGAGTACTATTTGATTTTTTAAAAATTAAAATATGTTGAATGAACAAAATTAAAGGAAGAAAAATATTCTGTCTATTTTATAAGTTATCAACATTATTAAAATGACTGTCCCAAAATATTTATCATTAGTAAAATCAAATTAAAATTAATTAATTTTTTATTTTAACTTTAAATAATTATTAAATAAAATAATTCTTCTTTGTTTATGATTTCTGAAAGAATTTGTAAAAGAGAATTGAGACAACTGATATGAAATGAATAGAATAAACAATATCGACAAAAATATTATTAGACAACTCATCTTAGACATTTTTATTAAAATGAAGGAAATGAACCGAAAAAAAAGCAAACAAAAGGAAGATCATCACATATTAAGACTATAATTGAAATGAGCCCTTGTATAAATTTGATTGCAAAATATTTAAAACAATTTCATATAAATAATAGTCAAAATAATATATTTTATTTATCCAAAATTATCCCTTATTTATTTTTGTGCAAACCTTGTCAAAGTAAATGTTATAGTTAATCACAGTTAATACCATTGCATTTTTTGCAACTAACTAACCACTATATTAATTACAATATAATAATCTTGGTACCATATTTCATAATTAAACATAAACATATATGAAATTGATAAATTAAGAATTGAATGTTATATGAAATTGATAAATTAAGAATTGAATGACATGAAACGAATGATAGAACAATATAAATAACGACAACAAAAAAAAAACACAATACATACTTCTCCCAATTGATTTCGTTTGACAAATAACTTAGCAGTCTTCGTTAGATACTTAAATTTTCATAACAATAAAATTAACGACTTCAAATTCTAATTGCAACAAATATCGTTTTTCAAAAGGACAACATCAAAAATTATTTTTCAACATAAATTTGACAAAAATATTTCAGCCGATTTTACTTTTATGACTATTTTAATTTTTGTTTCATTCTTTTTTTTTTCTAACACAAGTTTTACTCTCAAAACGGCTGAAAAGGAAAATGAAAAGAAGAGGAAAAATTTAACAAGATAATGATTCTTTTAATTTGTTTAACATGATGTTAATAGAAAACAAAGAATAATAAAAAAATCAATCACCTGTATTTCAAAATTATGCAACTATACATATAGTCAAGAAATCACTAAGAAAAGAGGAAAATGTTTATCGAATGCTGATAATTGCTATTTTACTTCGTCAAACACCAGTTGTTAGAAGAAGAGAAAAAGAACAATCAACAAAAAAAAATCACTTATATTCATAATCATGAAAATAACATATAATTAACAAAAAAAATCATATAAATAATAATCCACAAATTATGAAATCATAAGACTAAATATATAGTAAAGAAATCACTAAGAAAAAGAGGAAAAGATTTACTAAATGTCGATAGATGATATTTTATTTTGTCAAACACCTGATGTTAGAAAAAGAAGAAAAACAATTAAGAAAATCAATTACTTCTATTTTATAATCATGAAAATAACATATAATATAAAAAAAAGAGAAAAGACATAAATACACCATCGAAGTTGTCCCATATTTGCATAAAGACACCTAAACTTTTAAAGTGTCCTATCACACCACTAAACAACTATATATCGTTGTAAATTGACCATTTTTACTCATTTCATCGTCTATGTAATGCGCGTGTTGCTCATTCTCTAGGTAACCCGACCCGACCCTTTTTTTTGGAAGAAAATTTGTGAACTCCTTTTCATTTCATTTCTTAACTTTTCCCTAAAAAATCAAACGAAATACACAGTGTTGTTGTTGACGATAGTGTTGTTGTTGACAATCTCGTTGTTGATCATTGTTGATCGTTGTTGATGTGTATTTGTGAAGATTCTTGGATATTGAAGGTCTAACAGGTTAGGGTTCTAAAATGTTCACTTTTTTCCGATTATTCTAATTTTATGGATTATTCAAACGAAATACACAGTGTTGTTGTTGACGATAGTGTTGTTATTGACAATCTCGTTGTTGATCATTGTTGATCGTTGTTGATGTGTATTTGTGAAGATTCTTGGAGATTGAAGGTCTAACAGGTTAGGGTTCTAAAATCTTCACTTTATTTTCGATTATTCTAATTTTATGGATTATTATAGTGTAGAAGTGTTAGAATCGACCTCCTACAGTTGCCATTGTTAGGATATTTTTGAGTATGTTGGGTAATCGACTTAGTTAGTGTAGGGTATTGTGTTATTGACTTAGTGCAACTGTTAGTGATTAGGGTTTTGTGATTGTGTTTTAGGTTAGGGTTAGATGTTATCCACTTAGTTCGAATCTTATTATTTGTCTCTTATACATTTGTAACTTCAATTTGTACACTAACAACTGCTATTGTTAGTGTTTTTGTTCTGTTAGTACTGTTAAAGCTTAATGTTAGTGTTTTTTCTACTTTTGTTAGTTAGTGTTTCTGCTGTTGTTGTTTGTTAGTGATTATGTTTGTTGTGTACAACTTGTTAGAGTTAGTTATTGAAATGTGTGTTTGAATTATGTTTGTTGTTGTTACATGATTTTTCAAGATGGCTTTGGAGGGGGGGGGGGGAATAGAATTTGGTCCACCACCTAAATATATTGGGGGGCATGTGACAAAATTCCTAGATGTAGATGTTGATAGGATGTCTTATTTTTAGTTGAGGGACTACATAAAGGAACTAGGATATACAATAGATTGTGATTTTTTCATCAAGTGGGATGGGTTATTGGTCCTTGTTGATAATGATAAGGTTATATTTGACCTTTTCAATATGATGAATGATGGGGATACAGTGGAGGTGTATGTTTTTCATGGGGTTAGTGAAGCTAATCAGGCCCCACTTGAATTGGAGATTGTCCCCCATGTGACTGAAAGTGGGGTAGGTGAGAAATCTTTTAATGAGACTTCTAACCCTAATAATCAGCCTCCTACTTCTACTTTTCCTTCTATCCCTACAACTGGTCCTTCTGAAACTTCCAGCACTACATTTGAAGCTCAGTCTTCTACTGTGCCTCCACCAACTTTTTCTATTGTGCCTCCTCCTTCATCTGATTATCCTATAATAGATGACGATCCAAATGATGATGAAGTGGAAGATGAATTAGGATCTGAAGGGGATACTAGTGAAGATACTGAGGTTGACAGTGATGTTCATCAAGAGTATGTAGATATAAGGGCAACCAATAGGAATTTCAAAAGGTCACAAAGGATAAGTAGGGGAACTACTTCAGATCAAATTAATGTTAATGAAAAGGTCCAGATATAGGGTATGATGAGACAAATAATGGTATTAGGGAAAGCTTAGTTGGTAAGCTAGGAGGTGATGAACCTTATTATCTAAGTGATGAAGTTCATAGCTTTGAAATAGATGGTGAAGAGGTTGATCAAGTAGTGGAGATTTCATTGTTAAAACATACAACCCTATCCATAAATATTTGACATCAAATCATAACTACCTGTGCAACTCAAAGTTTTGGCCACCAAATACAAAGAAAGAATAACTCAACAGCCAAACATCAACATTGTCTTGTTGCAGGACATTATTAGAAAGGAGTTGGATATTAATGTTGGTAGGACAAAAGTGAGAAGAGATAG